CCTGGCCCCTCCACTTTCCGATACGAGTTGTCCGTGGTCAAGGTGAGCGTCTGTCCTAGTTCACATGACCCCCAGGTCACGTGGCACGAGAAAACTGTGACATCTATTCAGACTTATCACGCGGACTTATCCAAGTACACGGTGTAGCACACGGGGGAGAGAGTATCACACAAGTTCCTAGATTGAGGGATATAGGGATACAGGAGGTAACGAAGAGGAGAACAGAAGTGGGGAGCCTCTACTGACTACGGGCCTCCTTATATACCCTGGGGTACCGACCGTATTAGGAAGGGAAAGGTGATAAACTCGGGGCTGTGAAGACAAAGATTAGATCTGACTAGAGTCGAAGCAAGATCTTCAGTCAGTAAGGAAAGACTATATTGCAGTAACCAACTGTACCTAGAGTTGAAGCAAGACTACAAAGGTTAAGTAAGTAACTACAAGTTAGAGGTAAAGGTAATGAAGTACTCACTCTTCAGTCAGTAAGGAAAGACTGAAGAGGGAGGACGCAATCTGAAGTCCTTATATACTATAGAGAAGTGTCCATGACTAATCAAAGAGTGGTTAGTCACATGTACCATAGTGCGATGAATAATACAATGACGAAAGAATTGCGACGTATCGCACCATAGGATGAGTAAGAGATGAGTAAGGCATAGACCTGTCTAGACCGTTCTGGAGTAGTACGGATTGTCCTAGACAGTACCAGAAGAGTCCGGAAGCATAGCTATAGTACACGAGCAGAGAGTCCCAAATATGGTAACATACTACATAAGCGACTACAGCTAAGCGCTAGGAGACGCGTAGCCTCGTGTAGTCCGGACTGGATAAGTCCAAGTTCAACAAAAGGTAACCGACCAAAGTGGGGAGGTATGAGGGGACTGTAAAGGAACACGTCTGGTCGAGGCTGGGCCCGGTATAGTACACAACCTAGGTCAGGGTCCTGTGATATAACCGAAAGGGGATAGAGGCGGGACAGGGTCCTGAGTCTAGGTCAGGGTCGGATAATGTAACCAAAAAGGGAAGGGGGTGCGACAAGGGTCGGGGTCTGGGTCAGGGTAAAGTAATGTAACCGAAAAGGGAAAGGGTCAGGGTCGGACTCAGGGTCCGGTCATATAGACGAAAGGGGAAATATTAAGGGAGAGGGCCGGGACTAGGAATGCAGTCGTCAGGGGGCGGAATGGGGGGTGGTAGTGTACAGGCGGACGACAGAGGAACGGGAGGGTAAACATAGGTCGCCGGGAACAGGAAGGGGGGTGGAGTGTACATGAGAGCGACGAGAAGGAGTAGTCCAATAGAAAAAGATAGGGGGTGGGGCGTACCAACGATAACATTACCCCCATTTCTAAGCACGATCGTCCCGATCGTTCAACTCCAAGTCCGGCTCCGTGAGCGGTGACGAGGGCGCTGGCGGGTACCAGAGGCCGATGTTCAAGCCAGGATCAATGAGGTTGGAGTAGCCCCCGGAGAGGAAGGTGATGGTGCAGGATGGCGACGGTGCGATGGTTGGGGAGGCGGCGGGGGGCGATGGGGAACAGGATGAAGGGTTAGCGGGGGTGGGGCGCATGGGACAGAAAGGGGTGGGGATGGCATCAGCGGGGAGGTCGTGGACGACAGCGGGTGGGGATACGGGGGAGGGGCTGCACAAACGGAGGACCTCCTCGACGGGTACGGCGGGTGTGGCAGGGGTGGGTGGAGGGGAGTCACCGTAATCGGAGATGTCGAGGATCTCGTCATCGTAGAAGTTCCCCCACACGCTGCGATGGAGGTCGTTCCCTGACATGTTGTCGTAGAGGCGTACAGCACGTCTGTTCCGGTACTGGCGGACCGAGATGGGGATGCGGACGTCGTACGCATCGATAAGGTTGTCGGCTGCTTCTCTCCATATGACGTGGTCGGTGACACGGGTGGCGGGGTCGCGTGCCTGGATCATCGCCCGAAGGAATCCCAGGTACTGAGTCTCCATGAACCGTCCACTGGGGTGAAGGTTGTCGCCCAAGACACCAATGAGGTAGGCGTTTTCGACGCCAGGCATGTGCTCCCACCGCTCATCCCAGGCGTAGCTCCGGAGTTGGACCTCGAGGAGAGCAGTCCCGTTGAGGTGGCCTGAGATACGCCACTCCCAAGGGTGTCCGCTGACGTGATGAGGTTCTTCCGGTCCGATTTGCCAGCCGTCCAGGAGTCGCTCGTCGTAGAGGAGGGCCCCTCCGTATGCTGGGTAGCCGAGGAGGGGCGTCCGATAGTGGACGGTGGTGGGGCCCGGGGCAGGAGCGGGGTATGGGGGGGTGCGGGGGGTACATTAGCGGAGCAGGGGAGTTGGAGGGGCAGGGGGTGCGGACAGGGCGTTGGGGTTGGTGGTGTCGGTGAGATCGCCTCCACTAATGGTGCCGAGGACCGTTCGGACGACCGAGGCCGGCCACTCCAGGGGCGACGCGGGGTCGACGACCATGGTGAACGGAGGTTCGTTTTCATCGACGGGGCTTGGGGAGCAGGGGGTAGGGCTGGGAGAGCGGGGAGAGGGGCACGTACCGGTCGGAGGGGGCGCGCCGGAGCGTAGGCGAGCGGGCATCGGGCGGAGGTGCTGCGGTGTTGGGGAGGGGGAGTCGCGGGGTGGAGGGGAGCGCCGTGGAGGTTGTACAGGGGGGGACCACTCCATGTCGGCCTCGTCCATGAGGACGTTCCCCCAGTTAGTGTTGCTCCAGTCGACATTGGTGTTGCCCCATCCGGAGACGTCGGCCGGGTTTCCCCATTCCGGGGCAGGCAGAGGCGGGGTGGGGGGGATAGGTGAGGCGGCGTGGCTGTCGTTGTTGGCGATGACGCGCTCCAGCCAGGTCTGCTCGCGTTCGCGGTCAACCTGCTCCATGTGATTGACGAGGTCAGCGATGAGGTAAAGATGATGGGGGGCGCAAACAATATTTAAGGCGTGGTCGGACATGGCGATCATCGTGGCCCGCAGCTGGGAGACGGTGTCGTAGGCCCGACATTGGCCAGCCGGGTCGGTGAGCTCGCCGACGTCCCAGTCAAGGGTCCGGAGATGGGTGAGGGTGACGACTGACTCGCTGTAGATGGCTCAGGCATGAAAGGCGGGCGGGACGTCCCGGAATCGCCATTCCAGGACGTTGCGCAACTCCGGATTGGGTTGGAGGAGGAGCCACCCAATGTATTGGCATTGGGAGGTCTGACCGTATCCAGCGATTTCGTTGCCGGGCAGGTGGAGGAAGGAGAGGTGGAAGTCGTGGTCGAGGAACCACTGGGGGGTGGGGACATCTTTGGGGGCAACACGGTAGGTGGAGGCGAGTTGGGGCATGGTGTGGATTGGTGGGAGAGCGGAGTGGGTTGGGGTCGTTCCCTAGAGTGGCTGTTGCTTCTTGTACTTAGTGAGGAGCTTCGGCACATTAGTCATCTCCTTCCTGGAAACCCACGAGTTTTTGCTGCTAGGCCAGCCCTTCCAAGAGACGAAGTATTGATAGCCTTTCCCACGTTTCCGATGGGCTAAGATGGCCTCGACTTCCCACTCTTCTTCGCCTTCTACGATCTCCGGAGGCGGTCTGGGGTAGTCTGGACCGTGTTCCTTGGTGACTCGATAAGGCTTGAGTAGATTCACATGGAAGACGTCATAGATCTTCCAGGCCTTAGGGAGTTTTAGCCGAACTGTGACTGGACCAGTGATCTCGTCGATCTCGAAGGGTCCTTCCCTTTTCGGGGCTAAGTTTTGGTGGGGATAGGGGAGTCTGAGATTGGTTGATTCGAGGAGGACCCTGTCGCCTTTCTTGAACGTGACCGGCTTGGTTCCAGCCCTTCGGGCCATGATCTCCGCTGCTTGATTGTGCGCGGCTTCCGCGTTGGCTCTGTCTTCGAGGAGTTGCTGGATTCGTTCTTCTGCACTTGGATGCGTGGATGGAGAGAGGGAGTTGGGGAATATGTCGGGGTTGTAGCCCATGATGAGTTCGAATGGAGACTTGCCCGTAACAGAGTGCTTGCGTTGGTTGTGGCAGAACTCAAAGGCGGGGAGTTTGTCTGACCAGCTGTCCGGGTCGTTGAGGCAGTAGATGCGCAGAGCCAAGTCGATCTCCTGGTTGACTCGTTCTGTCTGTCTGTCCGTCTGAGGGTGATACGCCGTGGATTGGGAAGTCTTGACTCCTACGAGTTGTTGCAGTTCTTGGAAGACCCCGGACGCGAACTGGGGTCCTCGATCAGATATGATACTCTGAGGGGCTCCAAACCGTTTGTAGACATCTCGGAACAGTAGTTCGGCTGCTTCCAAGGCGGTGACATTGATAGTGCAGGGGGTGATGACTGCACCCTTGGTGGTGTCGTGATCTACTACCACTTGAATGGCATTGAATCCGTTGGACGTTGGAAGGCCCGTGATGTGATCCATGGTGATGACTGAAAACGGCCGCGTGTTCCCTGCGTGGGGAATAGGCATGGCAGGAGCTTTCACGGGGTGGGTGTCAACCTTGGATCCTTGACAGATGGCGCATCCCTGCACGAATTTGCGGATGAAGTTTTCCATTCCGCCCCAACTGTACTGGCGGGAGACAAGTTCGATGTTCTGGTCTTGTCCAGGGTGGCCCATTACTGCCGGGTTGTGATGTATCCGGACAATGTTGTGTCGTAGGTTTTCATTCGGAGGTATGTAGATCTTGCCCTGGTACTTGGCAACTCCATCGTCCAGCTTCCAGTCTTCAGTTTTGCCATACGGAGGTGGCCTGACAAGGGTTAGACGTCCATGACGGCTAGTCTGTACCACCTTAGTGTCTTTCCGGGTGGCATCCTTGATTCATAGCAGTAGATCATCAGTGACAGCTCGAGTAAATACCCCGTCATTTAAGACGACAATGTCCTCGTTGTCATGCTTCCCATCCGCATGGTCGGGGCGGCGGGACAGGGCGTCGGCTTGGGTCAAGGTCTTCCCGGCGTGGTGGTGGATTTAGAAGTGAAACTGGCCGAGGAATGCACTCCATCGGGCCTGGCGTCGGGTCAGCTTCTGCGCGGACCGCCAGTAGGTGAGGTTCTTGTGGTCAGAAATGACCTGGATAACGTGGGGTGATCCTTCGAGATAGTGTTGCCAGGTCTCGAACGCTTGAACAACCACTAGGAGCTCCTTGTCGTAGATCTGATAGTTGCGTTCCACAGGCGAGAGGGCGTGGGATAGGTACGCTACTGGCATCCAGTCTTGGTTGCTGTTCCGTTGGCGGAGGATGGCCCCAGTGGCGAACATGGAGGCGTCGCATTCGATCTGGAAGGCCCCAGACGGGTCAGCCATGCAAAGGATGGGCTTCTGCTGGAACAGGTTGCGAAGCGTGTCAAATGCAACCTGACATTCGGGCGTCCATTGAAAGGGTAGTTCTTTGCGGGTGAGTTGTGTGAGTGGTCGAGCAATCTTGCTGTAGTCACGGATGAAGTGTCGGTAGAAGTTGCAGAATTCGAGGAAGCTCTGGACTTGTTTGACGGTGGTGGGTACAGGCCAGGTGCAGATGCCGTCGAGCTTGACCGGGTCCATGCCAAGCGATCCTTCACGAATGATGGTGCCCAGGAACTCAACTTCACTGGTGTCGAACACGCACTTCTCGCGCTTGAGGAACAGGTCCATTTCGATGAGATGCTGAACGACCCGTTGCGTTCGACGATGGTGGACGTCCTCCGTCTTGGAGAATATCAGAATGTCGTCCATGTAGATGATGATCCATCCCTCAGCGATCATGTCCTTGAAGCCGTCGTTCATCATCGCTTGGAATGTTGCCGGGGCGTTGCATAACCCAAAGAACCATTACAGTTGGCTCGTAGAGCCCAAGGGGGGTCTTGAAGGCAGCCTTCCACTGATCACCGTCTTTGATGCGGACATTGTTGTACCCAGCACGGACGTCCAACTTCGTGAAGTACTTGGCCCCCTGCAACTTGTCGATGAGGTCGTTGATCAGGGGGAGGGGGTAGATGTTCTTGATTGTGCTGGAATTGAGGTACCGGTAGTCTTGAACAGGTCGCATGGAACCGTCCTTCTTGTCCACGAAGAAGAACAGGGATGCCATTGGTGAGGTGGATGGGCGGATGTACCCCTTGGCTAGGTTCTCATCGATGAACTTTTGAAGTTCCTGCATCTTGAGCGGGGACAGGGGGTACAACTTGCAGTCCTGGGGTTTGAAGTTGGGTCACAGGTTGATGGGGTGATCCCAGGCCCGGGGCTTGGGCATTCGTTCAGCCGCCTTCTTCTCGAACACCTGGTGATAGGTTTTGAGGTAGTCTGGGATGGCCACGGGAGCCTTGATGTCAGCTGCCTTCGACCCTGCGTTGACGGCCAGTTGGGTTGATACAGTTGTGCGAGCGATGGCGGTGTCTCCGATGATGAGTCGTCGAATGGTGGCAGAAGGGTTCCATTCGGGATGGATGTCTCTGTGAAGGAAAGCGGTCAGTGTCACGGACGTTGGACAGACGCCCCTTTTTGCCGCCCATTCCCTTTCCTTTGACGCCCACCTTCCATTTCCGGACCGTTT